TCCATGTGAGCCCTGAGCCCTGCAGATGGTCAGGGTGGTGGAAGGTGTGAAATTTCATCTGTAGCGGTGAAAGTTTTCGACTGGCACTCCAGCATGGAAATGTTCGTCGGTAGCCCAGAGGCCAGGGGTGTGAAATTAATTAATTTGACCAATGCCTGCCGCTCTGATCGTGCGGCCAGCGGAGAAAAAGTTCCTTGAATCATTGTAACATGTACGGGAGGGTAGCAACTGGTTGATTGTGCTTATTACACCGATGAGTGGGGCTAATAGTGGAAGCAAAGGAGATGCTCAATCGTTTCTTTTTTTTTTTTTTTTTTTTTTTGAACAGGTCAAACAGTTAGTCCCCTCATGAAATACAAGCACTGATGGCAATGGATAAGCGGGACTGACGTATGCCATAATCAGAGAGGTTAGGATAGCACTTTGAAAGCATGACGTTTTGGCCACTTTTTGCCAACCGGGCCTTGATCCCGCTCGCTGGGCCTGTCCTCTGGTACCCCCCTCCATCCATTGCCCTCTAAATTCCCCCTGTTTAATTAAGACTGAAAATGGGAAAGACGGATTTTTTTTCTGTCTCCAATTGCTATTCAGTCTTACACAGGTTTGACTGCACCTTGTCATAGGGAGTAGTAGTAGTATAAGGTTTTACGGCGCTCGCAACTGCTAAGGTCATATGAGCGCGCTCATAGGGAGTGCCTTTTACTGGTGTGCTGTGTGTGTATGTTCGTGTGTGTGTGTGTGTGTGTGTGTGTGTGTGCGTACGTACGTGTTGGTGAGAGTATTTTTGTGTGTCGGGGGGGGGGGGGTGCGTGCGTGCGGGTGTGCGAGTACTGTATCATCTATATTGTTTCAACCTTATAATACTCAAACGCAGACGAACCCATGTCCTCCACAGGCTATCCGCAACAGGGGCCGAGGTTAACCTCTTGACCGTGACGTTCTACTGACCACCAGATGCCCATTGTCATCCCCACGTGTCGTGTCTGCCATGAAATCGTCCACAACACCCAGATGGCATTTGTGTGACATCTTGGTGAAATGAGGTGCTTCTCGAAATAATACTATTGAAGAAACGGACATTTTACCACCCGTTGAGCAATTCTATTCTTTTATATAGTTGGGGGGTTTTTTGGTAGAAGTGGGGAAGAACACCTTTTATATCCGTATAAAGTCGCATCTATGGGTGAATTCTACGATCAAAGGCATAAAAAATGCAAATTTGCAGATGCCAAGAACACTAAAGCTTTAGAAGTTACCAAACTTTGATGGACATTTTCTCTCTGATTTTTATCTATAACACCTTGCAACCCCTACCCTTGTCAATGGCAAATGTGTTAACTTCTTTTCAAGATGGATGGGTATTTTTCCTTCAAAAGCAAGACAAATGAATACGCTTTGAAATTATACCAACAACTCCGTGTAAAGTTATGCCCAAAAATTGACGAGCACCTGATTCCACTGCGTCGTGACACATTTACTGAGAGACCAGATAACGTCGCAACTATCACATACATGTATGCCTGTTGTGTATGAGAGTATATGTCTGTTTCACTTCTGATTGTTGGCGAAAACTTCAGGGTCCTTGAAGGAATGGGAACATAAATAAATACTTTAGAGAGTGCGTATTGAAGGTTGGTTATCTCAGTGCAAAAATGATTGCCGTCATTAATTAAGACACGAAATTTATTTCTATTTTGTTATCACTTCAAGGACTTTCGGTGTCCATTGATTCCACTTTTGGTTTTGATAAAGTTTCATTATCCGCACATCCCTGGAGAGTTTGTTGTTATTTATCATTGGAGCATGCATTCTTTTTGCCATTCACAGAGTTCTTGGAGCATTTTTCAAAATGCGGATATCATCCTTTGTAGAAAAGATTTAATCTTTACGCACTACAGTTCTCGAAGATATCAAAATAACATTGCCGTATCTTAAAGTATAGCGAAAAATATCCCTCTGATGTACTTTATTTTTTTCCAGATTGATCTCTTTACATTCCCAACAAACCGTATTGTTGTGCAACTTTTTCAATAAACGTCATTTCGAGTCCTGTAGTTGTCATTGTCTCCATTTTTCTGTCAGTGTATGTGCTTAGTTTAAGTTTAATCTCGCACTTTATTTTATTTAGTTTTTAATGTTTGAAGGGGTTCCTTATGTCCAATTCAACGTGGCTTGGACATTAAATATAAGTTTTGCATCAGCCCCTGACACCAAAATAAAAGACACATGCTTGGAAAGAACGTCAGAGGTATAGAGATATGTTGACCTGTATCACCTGTGTGAAGCATAGACAGTGTACTCTTTCTAACACCAACACCATGAACGTGAGCTGTACCTTTTTCCCGCACCCAGACACCAACCTGCAGTCCCAACCAGCCTCGTCCAGCATCTGGATCATTTTAATGTAACCACGGTTTAAAGTGTAAAGTGTTTTAGCCCCTACCAACACTATTAGGCGGGACCTCCGTATTCAACGTCTGCCCCCGATAGGACCGAACCAAATGATTTGAGAACCTTGAAAACACCACAAAGCAGCCCGAGATCTAGAACATTCAATGAATTTCAATGTGGGTTTTTGAACCAGGGCCATCCGCACCATGGTGTAGCTTGATACCAAGTGACCTAACGGAGTGCCAGTAACCACGATTCCGATGGGCATGTCACACAGCACATATATTAGACCATCGTCTACCTCTGAGAATTCTCTACTCTAAAACTAGCGTTCTAAGAGGTGCCTTCGTATTGATGTAGTCCACTGAAACCGAAAGCACTTGATTCGAAAACAGCGACAAGCCGGATAAAATTAAAATCCCGTATCTTTTCTTCTTCTATTTGAGTGACCACTCTAAACCTGTTGAAGGCTGGGAAAAGTCCGGTGGTCCCCTAGTTTTTGGTTTAGGCGGACTATTTTTAAGACGCTTCGAAGGTTCAATGGGTATGGTCTGCATGCGCTTCTCCATTCTCCCCTGAGCAGTGCGGGTGGCTGGTGGGTGCTCTGGTGTGGTTTTCTCCTTTTTTCCTCTCAAACATATATCGTCCCTATATCTCCTCCTTTTTGTGTCCGATACTCTCTTGTAACACTTCTAATCTTCGGCTCTTATATAACTTACTAATTGAGATGCAAGTGCCATAAAACTCTTGCTAAAACTAAACGTGAGCAGCGTCGTCTGAAAAGAGTGGGCCAACAATCCTCCAGTAACAAGGAAACGTCAGAAAAGTCAAAAAGCTTTTCCCGTGACGGGTCCCAACAATTGAAGCAGATTACGTGCCTGTGTCTGTGGTGTAACGGTTAAGCGCTTCGCTGTCAAACGCGGGTAAACTAAGTTCGATTCCTGAGTGGGAAGGAAATTTTCATCGAGTATCTCGGTCTTTCTGCTGGGGTGTTGTAAAAAAACATCTCAGCCAGGTTTGACCTTGACAGTGAGGCAGGGTCGGAGGCCCTCCTCGACCCCACC